TGTGTGCCGAATGGTAAGGCCCATTTTCTCTCAACCTCTGTTCCTCCACCTACAAAATGAGAACAACGACCCCAAGATGCCTTGCAAAGACCTGCAAACTAAAACTGTTTCCCCCAGTGCACTATGCTTCCTTTAGAGGTCTGACAGTCTGAGGCCCAATTTCCCTTCAAAACAATCTATCAGGGATTTCACTTTTACTTGCAGACACTAGCAGGATTAAAGATTCATGTTTCATTTCACCTCATTCTGAATAAGAAATAGAATATCCATGGAGGAGCCGCTGCGCCCTCCCTTCACCCCCTGCCGAGTGAAAAGAAAAGCTGCAACCTGAAGCAGCCGGCGGGTGTCTGGGTTCCCTGCCACAGGGGGGATCCCAGGGAGAATCAGCTCACACCCTGTACCTCTGCTAATCTGCTTCCCTTGCCAACGAGATCCCCATGAAAACCAGCTCTGCATCTGCAGTGTCGCTGCTGGCAAGCGTCTGAGTAATAAAGGAGACCAGTATGCACAGGGAAATGGAAAAGAAGCAGAAAGTGGAGAAAAGCCTTCCTCCCCTACCTAGAAAAGGGCTGTTTAAAGCCAAGGAAGGGATGTGGGCCTCTATTTGCCAATCCCACCCTTGGCGCCCTCCCAAAAGGAGATCCATTCCTAACTAGGGTTCCCAACAACTTGGGGGGGAAATGTCCAGTTCCTTTGGTGGTTGAAAGTGCCATGTAGGGTTTTCACCCTGTAGGGTTTTCAAGGCAAGAGACATTCAGAGGGCGTTTGCCATTGCCTGCCTCAGTGTAGCAAACCCTGGATTTCTTGGTGGTCTCCCATCCAAGTACTAACCAGTACGGACCCTGCTTAACTTCTGAGATATAATCTGGGCCATATACAGGTCAGGACCATGCTCCTTTAAAAGAGGCTTCATGTGTGGAAATAGGCTGCTGAAGTTTTTGAAAGGCATGGTGGTAAATAACCTAACCTAGTAAATAATATCCCATGAAGCCTCTCTTAAAGAGACACGACATTTATTCTCCAGGATGCTGGCAAACCTAATCTTAACTCCAGCACAGTCCATAAACACAAGGAATGGCTGCTTTTAAATGGCAGATGCTGACGATTACTTACCCATTAAAGAGTGGGTTTCCCCACTCCTTAATTAGTTCTACCAGTTTTAATAGGTTTAATCAACAGATTACCTAACTCCATCTTTAGCTGATTAATCAAGGAGACCCAGTTTTATTCATGGAGGGGCAACTGAAATGGGTGGGGGCCAGGAATTAAAGGCACAATGGATTTATTTACTAGCCTGATACCCGTGCTTCGCTACGGTATTTATAAGTTCCATAAATCCAGTTATAATACTGATGATGTGAAGTTTGAAATGTAACATTTGTTGTAGGAATTCTAATGGAGAAGATTGTAATGTAAAAAATGAAGTGAGACACATGTGCTGTTTTTTTTTTCTCTACTGAAGGACCTCTTTGTAGACCACACTGTTTTGCTCACATGGAGATGTATTGTTCTGAGCACCTCAGGGTGATCTTGCTGATACTTGGCCAGCACAGCTCAGTACACTTCAGGAGTACAATGTGCAAATGTCTTTGCCACATTCCTAAGTTACCTCCTCCTTGTAGCATTGTTGTATCTGGCTCAATGTTTGCCAGGAGGCAGTAAGAGGTGACAGGTGTGAGGGGGAGTTGGTCTGAGGGAGTGGTGATGTAGTGGACATTTCTTCAGGTTCATGAGAGAGGCACGCATCAAAATGGCTCCTTTACTATCTCCCCATGAACATTCATAAACTCAATTGCCATGCTGGCTGTAATTAGAAATGTCTATTCAGGAGTCTTGAATAGCTGATAGTTGTCAGTCAGTCAGTTAGCCTTTACTGGCATAAAACAATACCTTAAACACTGATATTTGTAACTGTCCTCAGCTGTCTGCAGTCTCTTTTAACTGTGTTTTTACCTCACAACACTGAGTTCTACAGCTGAGCAATCAGAGGGAGGTGGGTGCAAGCAGGCAGGTTTTACCTCAGAACTCTGAGCTACACAGGCCCCGGGCATACGGGCCGGCTGAAACGCGGCTACGCAGAGCCGCTCCAAACTTGATACGCCGCGGCGGGATCCCACGGATCCCCTAGCCGCGGCGCAGCACTCCCCGGCACGCTCAGATGCCGGGGAGGAAAAGTCCGAGGGGAGGGGGGAGGCTGCCGAACTGCGCATGCTTGGGCATGCGCAGTATGGCTGGCGGCCGGGATGCGGCGGCGCAAGGACACGCCGCCGATCCCACAGCCCTGCCTGCGCCGCACCAATGGATGCAACCACCTAGAGAGGTGGTTGTTTTTTGCGGCGCAGTTTGGGCCGTTGGGACGGATCAGGGACGGAGACGGCACGCTCGCCAGATGTTGTGGTGAGATCGCGCCTGTTTGCTCCGCCCCAGTTCCGTCCCGCTCCCGGCCCAAATGGGCTCATATGAACGGGGCCACAGTTGACCAATTAAAGGGGGGGCAAGGAGGCAGCAGCCTGCCAGGCACATGGAAAACAATTGGGGGAACACATTTTGCCTCTTTTTTAACCCCTTAGGGTCAAGTTTCTCAGAAATCTCTTCGTAGTGGGGGTTGACATAATGGTAGGAATGCACTCCCTTTATTTTGGGTTTCTTTGGTGTGGGGGTTTGGCCTGGGCATTGAATTTTAGTGAGGACAGCAATGGTTCTATCTTGGCTGGCACCCTTCCCGTTCCCTATTGTTTACATCTATTTTGCCCTCCCCCCCCTGTCCATGAAGTAGCTGGCAGTGGGAGTGGAATGAAGACTGGTTATTCACCATCTGATTGCCTTTAATGTTGTACTAATGTTTTAAATTAATTTTATCTTGTTTTATCTCTGGTTGTACATCGCCCAGAGCCCTGCAGTAGCAGGGGTGGGGCAAATAATAATAATAATAATAATAATAATAATAATAATAATAATAATAATAATAATAATAATAATAATAATAATAATAATAATAATAATAATAATAATAATAATAATAATAATAATAATTTGGAGGGATGCAGGGCATACCCTTTTTTCTTTACAAAAATGGTTCTCATTTAAGAAGTTGAACACAACTATGTATTCAAAATAACATCCGAGTAATCAGATATTAAGCAAGTTCATATGAACCAATTTTCTAGAACCCACATTATGAGAAGATAAATAACCTAATACAGGAAACCACTTTTCTACAAATTTGGGGTATATTTCCATAGTGGGTGGGAGTGTGTCTAATGCCATTGGGGAGGAGGCTGGCCCAGCAGCACTGCTAAGGTGTTTCTGCTTGGGTGGTCTCCCTGATGGATTAAAATACCCTGCCGTGCTCCTACACCTGACAGACACCCGCCTGTCTGGTGTTGGGGGGAGTGTGTTTAAAGGCATCAGAGAAGCTGGGCCAGCAGCAGTGCTAAGGTAATCCTGCTGAGCAAGTCTCCCCAACAGCTGTAAGCATCTCACTCCCTCTCGAACACCTGACAGACAGCTGCCTATCCAGTGTAGGAGGTGGAGGGGTATCGCAAACCACTGTGGAGGCTGAGCCAGCAGGATCACTAAGGTGTTACTGTTGGGGCGGGCTCCCTGATGGCTTTAAGCACCCTACACCCCCTGCTGCACCTAACAGACAACCGCCAGCCAGGTGTAGGAGGTGAGGGGAGCGTATTGGAAGCCATGGGGGAGGCTGGGCCAGCAGCATTGCTGCACCTCACAGGTGGTTGTTGGCCATTCCTGATTTCCTCAACTGTCATCAGCTCTCTGCAGGCTCCTGTAACTGTTTTTTTTTAACTTCAGAACACTGAGCTCTGCAGCTGACCAATCAGAGAGTGGGGTGAAGTGGTGGCAGACAACAGGAGCTTGGGTGGGATATTCCCTGCCCCAGCTAGCTGAATGGTATCCCTAGCTGAACATCAATGCTTTTTTTGCCAGCTGGACTAGGGGAAAGAGACAGATGGGAGGGTAGCTCTTGCCCATTCACTTGACCCACTACCTCACAAGCCTCACTAACTCCCAGCTTCTCTTTGGAGGAAAGGAAAGAGGAAGCCAGCTTTGAAGCACTTTATCTCCCCCAGGTAGGCAGTGAGGGTTGTCTCTGGAAGAAATGGGAGTCTCCGGTCCTCAACATCTTATTCCTATTGGTGGAGGCTTGTTCCTTTTATACCAGACTAAAAATCCTGCACTTTTGTTTATCTGCAAACCAGGAGAGAGATGGAACCTCTGGCATCTCCCATCATCATGTGTGACAAGCTAATCTGTTCCAGTCCATCACATAGATACTCATGCCTGCAAGGTTCGCAATGTGATTCACACCAAGCCTCTCTCTGCCCCCAACTCCTCCTTTTTTCTCCCTATCCATCTGTAATTTTCCTTATAAAATGGTGGAAAATTATTTCCTCTTCATAGCACCTGAAGAAGTAAGCTCTGACTCATGAAAGCTCATGCTGGCAAAAATGTTAAGTCTTTAAGGTGCCACTGGACTTCTGTTTATTTATCTATAGGGAACCTTCACAACATTTGAAAGGGATGCTTCTCTGGCTGACTGGGGAGAAGCTATATTGTCCATTCCATCCTTCCTCTTCAAACTAATTTTGGGAGGACCTTCATTCTTTGACAAATGTTCCTGGCCAAATTTTGGTGTAGAACAGGAACTTTCTGTGTGACTGTGTGCATCTGAGACAGATTTATGTGTAGAGTCGAGAAAGTGGATAGAGAAAATGTCTTCTCTTCCCATAGTGATAGAATTTGGAGTCACCCAATGGACATTAGATTTAGGACTTATTCAATCAATGACTAATTAAATCATGAAATTCTTTTTCTGTGGATGTGATGGCCATGATAGATTGATGTGGGAAAGGTCCATCAACAGCTCCTACTTATGGTCACTACAGAGAAGCTCCCTGTCCAGAGACAGACAACCTGTGAATACCCCTTTTTATACTGTGGCTCTGTAAACCCTTCAGAAAAACACCCACCACACTCACCTGCACGATTTCCAGCATCTCTTCCCTGCTGATATAGCCATTCCCATCCAGATCGTACATGCTGAAGGCCCACATCAGCTTCTGCTCCAGCTTCCCCCGTGAGGTGACGCTCAGGGCAATGATGAACTCTCGGAAGTCAATGGTGCCATCGCCGTTGGTGTCAAAGGTGCGGAAGACGTGCTCGGCAAACTTGGAAGCATCACCGTAAGGGAAGAAGTTGGCATAGATCTTCTTGAACTCCTCTACGTTGAGTATGCCAGTGGGACAGTCCTTGAGGAAGCCCTTGTACCACTCTTGAAGCTCCAGGTCAGAGAATTCCGTGTTCTCCCGGAGATCTTGGAGCATCTCCGGACGCAGCTTGCTATTCTGCTTCCCCATGGTTGAGCCAGAATCTTACACTGAAATGCAGGGAGCAAGGAGAGGTCAGAGTGGAATACTGTCAATGGACAAATTCACATTCCATTTCGAGCAAATACCATTATGCTTTCTCACAGAAGGCTCCTTTAGTATGTATTTTTGTATTTACCACTTTCCTGTGCAAGCAAAACAACAACAACCTCAAAACACTTCATTTGACCAAACTGTACATCCAGACAATCATGAGTCCTAGAAACTTGCTCTCAAAAACACAAGCTTTGAATGTCAGAAATTCAAATTCAAGATTCAGATTCTTTGGACAACTTCAACTTATGCTGACCACAAGAAGCCTTGGAAATAATTTACTGGGAATATACTGACAGAAATCATTAAGAGCTGATTAATATTACTGGTTGAATGTCATTCATCCTAGGAGATAGTTATGCTTTTCAGACCTGCGTAGCCAAGTCAAGAGCATTCCTGGCTCAAACAGCATGTGACGGAGGTTTAAAAAGCACCAAAGATTATCTCTCGGGAAGCAGGGCTTTAGCCACAGCATGCCGTAAAACGGACTTAAATAAAATAACAGCTGCCCCAGCAGTCCTTATACATATGGAACATTCCTTTAAATATTAATTCCTTCAAGGCATTTTGGCACTGTTCATTCAACAGTAAGGCATGTCCACTGCAGTCGTATCTATTAGCAAAGTAGTATACCGACCTCTGCCTCTGACCTCTGCCTCTCGGCTCTGCCTAAGAAGAGGGGGGAGGGCAGGGTAGGACAGAACCTCCACCTGTGGAAGAAATTTTCCTGTCCCTGCTGAAATGACTCCTCCTTCTTCTGCCCAAATCCCCCAAATTGACAGGCACAACGACTGCCAGAGAACACCCTGGCAACCAGAGAGCGGCATGTAGGCATCAACTAGGAAATGAAGAGAGCGCGAAGGGAAGCAAGGGGGGCCAACCCCTCCCTCCCAAGGATCCTTTCGGTAAGTAGGGGACTTGCACCACAGCATGGACACCCCCAGCTTAGTTTGCCTCAGCGGCAGCAAAGTTCCTCTGTCCCAGGGCCTGCCACTCAGTGCCTCTCATCTGAGGAAACCGTGGCTTGTTTTGTGTGTCAGCTCTTTGGGGAGTTGCGCCTTCCCACTGTCCTGTGTGTGTGTGTGTCTGTGTGTGTGTGTCTGTGTGTGTCTGCACACCTACTGAGCCAAACAGCAGCACAGCTATCCTATCCCCTCCCCTCAGCAATACGTACACTCACCCAAGCTTATCCCCTCCCATCTACGGTGTGGGTACAGCACTCTGCTTTCACTTGTGCATGCGACACATGACCTAAATATGGTTGCTGGATCACTCTTTATGCAGAATGTGTGGCAAAGCTTCTGGAGACCCCAGGAAGGATTTTCCAATCGGCCCGCGTAGGGAGGAAATATTGTGTGACGTGGCACAGGACTGATGGTCACTGCAACACCACACAAAGCGTTCTAAGCTGACCAGGCTTCCTTCAGTGACAAGGGCCGTGCAAAAAAGAGTTGATTGCCGTTTCTGGAGAGACAGTCCCCCTCCCGCCAACGACATGCGCCTAGGCCAGAAAAAGATGCTCATGTCTCTATGCCCCATCAACAGCTGTGGACTACCTATTCCAATGTTGTTCCCCTCGCCCTACCTTTTTCTTCCGTCTTCCTGAAGAAGAAGGGTTCATTTTTATACCCCACTTTTCTCTATCCTAAGGAGTCACAAAGCAGCTCTTCCCTTCCTCTCCCCACAACAGTCACCTTGTGAGGTAGGTGGGGCTGAGAAAGTTGTGAGGGAACTGTGACTGGCGCAAGGTCACCCAGCAGGATTCATGTGGAGGAGTGGGGAATCAAACCCAGTTCCTGTCAAAAACCTCGCTCAGTCTCCAGGTTAATTTGAACTAAAATTCAGATCCAGAGCACACAAGAAATAACTGAGAGAGCATCTCTGATAGCAAGCAAAGTGGCATTTCACACCCTGTTGAAGAACTCCAACCAGCTGTCTCTTACATATCTGCAGCGGGGGGAGGAAGAAGGGCTGAGCCCCCAGCCCCCTCTCTTCAGAAACCCACTGCGGCTTTTTAGATTTGTGCAGCCCTCGGAAGAAACAAGACCTCTGCTTGGGAGCAATAAGGAACAATATTCTCTCTGGTAACACCGCTTGTTCTCTCAGCTGTGGGGTTATCAACAGAAGATGATAAGAAAAAATGAAAAATCTATACAGACGTGAGATCTATTTCCACCCCTGGTCAAAAACCAGATCTGGAGCCCAAAGCTATCAGATGATTCTGCCTTTTGGGGAAGAAAAAAAAAGGCTTTCCGGAGCAGACTCATTTCCTCTCCTTCTCTTCCTCACAGCAGGCTGCTGTCTGTTTTTCAGACAAGCTCAGCTGCACAAGATGAATGGTAGCACAGATGCAATTAGGTCTGGCTGGTCCGAATGCTGGCCCAGAAAGGCACATCACTGCTGGAAGGTTCTGCAAAAGGCCTAAAGGCTGGCTTTTAAAAAATGACAACCTCTTTGAAATTCCAAAATGAGAAAAACCGTGGTGCAGAGAGACCCATTTTGGTAATGGACCGTGCCATTCAGGCCATGTGTGTCCCTGCTGTGGCTTTGCCACTGAATGCCAGTAACAAACACTGCACACAAACTGGGGAGCCACTGGGCGGACGGCTGACCCCCAAGATTAGGCCAATCGCTGGCTTTAAGAAAACTTAAGTTGTTTAATCACACTAGCTTTAACCAACCGAGGCTAAGCAAATTTGCACATGAGAAAAAAGAGCAGTTCTAAAGAACAGCCTGGTTCTTGGACTTAAGCAGGTACCTGGTGCACTTCCCAGTTTTCCCCAATTAGAAGAGGCATCCCTCCTCCAACTGTCTTGCACTGGCAGGATACCTCTTTTAAGATGGCACCTTCCACCCACATTTTTCGAATGCCTGCCTAGGAAAAAGAATGTTCTCTCTTCATCTGCCCCACCATTAATTTGGGGCACAGTTTTGACAGATCGATCAGTCACTATGCTAAATGCTGCAAGCCCTAATTAGTGTGATGTTTCACAGCAAAACCTTCTCTTTGTTCTTCCTTTTGCTTCTAATATTTATTAAGGACTCTGTCCAAGGAGACCTACTTACGCAGTCAGCAACAGCACGACAACAGGGATTGTAATAAAAATAAAACAAAAATTGTATTAAATTGCTTACATAAAATCAATGATAAAATAATAATTAAATAACCAATTAAATAACCCTTACTTTGCAATTACACAAAGTTTGTTTATTCATTTGTCATTATAAAGGACATCAAATAAATTGGTCTACCAAGAACCAAGTAACTAGGCACTTAAGCTGTATTCTGAAGAAACCGCCTTCATTTGTTGACTTAATTTCATTTGAAGTTTTAAAAAGTTCCAGCCAAATACAAAGAATTGTGTTTCTTTTCAAAACTAAGGAAGTCCCACTGTTTCTGCTGAACGACTGACAGTTTTTAAGGAAATTTGGAGTATTTCCAACTAGAGTGTTTCAAAATAACAAGGTCTCTCCCCTCCTTCCAAACCTTTCCTATAGGCCCTGCGTGCCAGAGCCTCCAACTGTCTTGCACTGGCAGCAAGATGGCTCTGGCAGAAAGATGGCTCTGGCAAAGACATCACTGTCAGGGTCCTTTATGAAACCTGCCCCAACTATAAGGTCGGAACAAATATCTACTCCACTCACAAGGGAGTGGACCTAGAAAATTCTGTGGAAAGGGGGTTATTGACATCTTTTGCTGGCCTTTCAAAGGAAGATCAATCAGAGATTGTGGCCAGGCTAGAAGAGCTTACAGGTCAACTTCAAGGCCTGGCTAAGCAAGTTGATTTTCCTGAGGTAACTACATTGGGCAAGATTGACTAAAGAGGCTTGGAGGAGCCTTCCTCCAATGCTATGGAACAGAGTACATCTGGAGGAAAGGAAGAGATGACTTTGCCAGCTGCTGACCTCCCCTACCCACTGGTCTTACCAAATGATGGGGAAGACAGAATCTTTAAGCCTACACACTTGACAGCACCATCGGGACCTCTAATGCAAATGCCCGATGACCAAACATCTGAACCTCCACTCTTCTCAACATCCTTGGCTTCTAACAATAGACTTCTTCAAAGAGCAAATGGATGCGTATTTGATGATAGTGGAAAAATTCTGGACAATATTGAAATAGAGAATTGACAATTATTGGCACATCCATTTAGAATAATTTCATGGAATGTTGCAGGGTGGTTTCGTTGTAACTAACTCGCCAGATAACTCTTTCCTTCATCAGAAATGTGATATTTTAGCAATTCAAGAGACATGGACAGACCAAGAAATTACCCCTACAAGGTTTTAATATTTGTTGAAAGCTAAAGGAGGAAAGGGCCCAGGAAGGTTGAAAGGTGGTCTGGCAATATTACTCTTAGCCTCTCTGGAGTTTAAATGTATAGAGAACCCCACCCCTTGACTCAAGAGCTATGACAATAGTTCTTCATAGTAAAACAAATAGTCTGATTTTAATAAATGTCTATATTCCTCCCCTTTCACTAAAAGTCCAATTAGATGAAGCTTGGAGCTCCCTAGAGAGTTATATAGGCCCCTGCCACACGGCAAGGATGCGCCGCCGATCCCACGGCCCGGCTTGGGCTGCTCCAGACGCTTGCAACCACCTAGAGAGGTGGTTGTTTTTTACTGCGCGGTATCGCCATTCGGGACGGATCGGGGACAGAGACGGCACGCTCCCCAGATGTTGAGGTGGGATCGCGGCCCGTTTGCTGGCCTCGTATGAACGGGGCCATAGTAAATCTAATTGCGGAGCATCCAGAGGCCAATGTTTTACTTCTTGGAGATTTTAATGCTCGCCTTGGCCCAGATGATCCAAGTCTGGAATTTAAATATAAGGAATTTTTTAGTGACTCATATGACTCATACATTTTCTCCTCTTCCTAGGTGTTTTAAGGATTCCACTTCAAATGTTGCAGGTTTATATCTAGCCAAAA